TGGTTTTAGTCTAGGCCTTCCTGGTGACCAGTTTGTAACCAAGGAAGTAGCCAAGTACCCAGTATTCCATACAATTTTTACGTAAACCAGAGTATAAATAAGTCGGAGATTAGAGACCTCACTCTCTTCTCTTCCGGCGAGGTTTGGGAACAGTGGGTCCCTGCGTTGGTCTCGCTTATCTAAGGCTGAGGCCTGCAGAGTCCACCATCCTACCACGTGGAGGTTTGGAGAGTGCTGGCTGTGACTGCCGATCCTGCTGTTCTAAGGGACGTGGTGAGATCTGTTTTGTTAGTTATTAGTATAGTTTTTGAGTTTGATCTAGTATACCTGTTTGGTGTCCCTTTTGTTCCCTTTCGTCCCCTTTTTTCCCCTTTCCCTATCCCTTCGGGGGGTGGACCCCCTTTTACTGTGTATATAGCATCTTAACTGTACATAATTGAAATTTACGTAAATATAGATATATTTTTTATATAAGCAGCTTGACTTTGAGTTCTTTAATTTTTATAGTTTCTTTTTCCTTTAACTTAAGGGAAGAAAGGAGGGGGGAAAGGGGGCTGCTGTCGTAACTTTCGGGCATTTAGCAGGGAGCCAAGTCCAAACCGTCACAGTCACCTTACAAAATAAAACAGCCATCGATTTTTTACTTCTAGCTCATGGACATGGCTGCAAAGACTTTGAAGGTCTTTGCTGCATGAATCTCTCTGACCACTCAGAAGCTATTCATCAGGGCCTTGCTCAATTAAAAAGCCTGAGAGATCAATTGAAAACAAAGAAAGATATGAGTTTAGATAGCCTGTTTATTTGGTTAGATATGTTTAATCTTGGACCAAATCTTAAGAAGGTTGCTGTTGTTATTTTAACTGGAATTTTTGTTTTCTTTTGTATTTTAATTAGTATGCCGTGGGGAAATACGGCAAATTGATTTCATTGGTCCTCTGCCCGAGCACTGCAGACAACGCCGTTATCTGCGTGGCTGCAGATACAGGGCAGCTGTAGCTACCCTGGGAGGTGAATCAGCTGACTAGGGGGGTGGAGCCAAGCTCATCCACCAGGGATTTAAACAGCTGCTGAGAGTGCAAGCAACCCAGAACATGACGAACAAAAGTGGGCAAACAGAGATGTGGCACAGCAGTTTGTGCAGGCAGGGCAAGCAGGAAGGCTACACCCACCTCCCAGCTCTCTCAGGTCAGCTTTTGTTTGTTGGGTTGGTTGGTTTCCCACAACTCAGCTAAAGCCAGCAATGGTTTCCAAAAAAGTGAAAGCCATTGCTGCTGTTGTCGCAAGGGGTGTGTAAACACAGATGGAACACCCCAAGAAGGATACCAGGAACGACGCAGCTGTTCAGGTCTCTGACTGCACAGTGTTTGAGCCTGGCATTAGTACCAGAGGACAGTGTGAGGGGCGACTGCGGATGATGAGAGCTGTGGGGTTTCTGGTTATAGGATGGGGTTCTAGCAAAGGGTCCTGGGAAATGTAGTTTTTAAGTACTCTTACACAAGTGCAGTTGAATGAGTGTATAGGATTGGCTGAAAAGGTCACATGTGTCATGACATGTCACTATTTGAAACTACTATATAAGCCTTTGTCTCTTTCAATAAAGGATGCATTTTACACACCACGTTGGTGTCAGTCTCTGGTCCCAGGGACCCTTTATTTATTATATTAATATCACTGCTACAGAGAGCAGATGGTGTTGCTGCTGAAATTGCAGCAGCCGATGATTCACAAGCAGTTACAATTGCAATTGAAGGACAGGCGGAGTGGAAATAGGTCCTGACCTAACATCTGAGATGACGAGAGTAAGCTGGGTGGGGGTGGGCTGCTAACCTATTCCCCCCCTCCTTCTTTTTTGTCTCCTTCCGCAGGTGCCTGGCAGGACACACGTGGATGGCCCCACAACCACAGCAGAAGATGTGGGTGACCCTGGCTAACATGACGGGGCAGGACAGACAGATCCTGCTCCAGGCTGAGGCGTGTGGGGAAAGGGTTAACTTTTTATAGGAAGATTGCTGCAAGGAATGATGAGAAGTTTAGTCTCTGCTGCAGGCCCCCCGAAGGAAGCACTCGGCTGAGCACACCCAATGTACGGGCTCGAGAGTGATTGGTTGGGAGTGTCACGTCTTCTATGGTGACTTAACTTCGTTCGTAATTGAAAGGTATAAAAGCGTTGCTTAATCACCATTAAACTGATTTGCTGGTTTACACTCAAACTACTTGGTCTGTGCTATCACTGTCACAGAGGTGTGCTAACACCGAGGACAACACTGCCTCGGCGGGGATACCTGCTAATCGTTAAGCCTACTGAAGCCCAAGGATTCAGCAGCTAGTCCTACTGGGAATCTTGAGCATATTGGTGTCGATGTGTACAGCAACTGTGTGAACAACACGAGTGAGTGCGAGTTGTCTCGGGGTTTGTTTTTTTTTCTTGGTTTCTCCTTTTGTTTGCTACTTCTTTGCAATAATTGTTGCTTTCTTGAATTTTAAAAGGTGTCATCGTTTCGCCTTGGAATCCTCCTGGTAGTAGGGAGATGCCGTAAATCGTTGGTTTCTTGTACCGTCTGTCATTAGTATTGTTGCTGTAACTTTGTTTTCTTATCTTTGCTGTTTCCAGTAAATTGTTCTTATGTCAACCTGTGACCTTTATCTTTAGTGCCTCCAATTCTCCTCTCCAAGCCACTGCAAGGGGAGGGGGAGGGAGGAGTTTGGGAAGAGTGAGAGAGCAACAGTGTGGTTTGGAGAGTCTCAGTGGGAGCACTCTTCCTTAAACCACAAGACCTGGTCAGAGAAAATTGAGTCTGTCAGTGATGGAGTTAACTTTCCTCAGAGCAGCCCATGTAGTGTTGTGCTTTGCAGCCAATGTTTTGTCTGTTGCTGAACAGTGCTCATACACGTAAGGGGGATACTTTTGATTTAGATGATCAATGGAGCATAGAGGGGTGAGAAAGTGGTTGTATTAGCACGTGAAACTAGCCAGAGTATTGTACAATGTAGCTTTATTACACAAGTTGACTGTAAGGCCCACTGTACTTTTAGCAAAGTCAACTAGATGTCTCTTATTATCATAGCTGAGTTCCTCCTTGGCTTGGTTACACATTCTGCAAGATAGATACAAATACCCTTGAAACACAATGGTTCCCTGAGGTCCGACTCCTGGATGTGTTAGCTCCAAACCTCTTGCTCATCCCAACCTACTGGCCTTTAGGGGAAAGGGGCTGGGGTGAGGAAGGTGATGGAGAGAAGAAGATGATGTGGGCAGGGGTCATTCACCCCCTTGCCCTACAGTAGAGCATGCACAGACTGTTGCCATGAAGTAATGAACAGGCGGTGTTTGGCTGCCATTCTAGCATCCCCTTATATTATGTACTGGTCTTATGTAGTGTAATGTAGAGCTGATAAAATGGGGTGTCAGGACAGCGGGGTTGAGCGATACTCATCCTTCCATCGAGGCTGTGTTGCTCCGCGGGGACGCTCGCTAAGCATGAGTGCCGACCAGCCGCTGCAGACCCTGGTAGCCCTGGCCTGTCTGTGCAGGTAAGCACAGTTTATTGATAGGAAGCAACCGAGAAAGCAAACACTTTATATCCTTTTCCTTGTATCCCTTTAATTCCCTTTTTACTAGCTAATATTGTATTCCTTTAATTCCCCTTGTACTAACTAATACTTTAATAGAGGCTGTCTGTAGTACTGTATGAACGCCAATAGATAAAGTAGTTGTTTTTGTATTTGTAGTGGTTTTGAATCTAGGCCTTCCTTGGTGATCAGGTTGTAAGCAAGGAACCAAGGTCATGTTCCCAGTATTCCATACGATTTTACGTAAGCAAGAGTATAATTAAGGAGAGAGAGGAAGCTCTCGCTCTCTTTCTTCTGGGCGGACCCAAGGTGGAGGTAGCTCTACTGTCGCTCTATGAGTGAGGCCTGACGTGTCTGGTTGGCCTTGAGAGGCGGAGAGTGTTGGCAGCTGTGTGGTGTGGCTCGCTTCCTCTCGAGGGGAGTATCTGACTTTTTATCCCCTTTTATCCCTTTTTCCCTTTTCCCTTTCCCTTCTCTTTTCCCTTTTGGGGAGTTCCCTTTGGTTAATAGTGTATATAATTTTCTTTATGTATATATAAATCTTCCATTTGAAATTTATTCGGTTTGGGTTCTTTTGGTGTTTTTTCGGTCAGCTGGGAGAAAGTGAAAGGGAGGGGGAAGGTTTTGTCCCCGGGGTCCAGGCACTTGGCTGGGAACCAAGTCCAACCTGGGACAGTATTCTTTTTAACTTTTGATTCTCTTTGCTAATAGTTTTGCTTTTAACTCTCACTGCAATAAAAGGTATTTTGTAGTGTTTGAATGACTGTTGTACTTGTCTTTATTCCGGACATGTATCCTTGCGAACCTGGTATAATACATTGTGGAGGGCTGGCTACATGACAAAGGACACGTAGACCTACAAGAACTGGGTGAGCATGAACTTGGCAAAGTTAGAACACAGCTGGTGTAATTACTGTGCAAGCAAGGTTACGCTGGCCTTGGCAGTAACCATTATGCAATAACAAGATCTTGTGGTTATCTTGTGGGACACCAGACCATGGGAAAAGAAGGAACTGAGAATTTCCATAAACAAGGATTGAGGGTGGATCTGACTCTTAAGGCTGTTACCAATCGTAGAGCTAGGTTACAGAATATTAATGATCTTATTATGTAGCCTATATATGCTGTGATGTATAATCAATAAACGGAGCTTGCTGATACTCATATTGAGCGTCCTTGCCTTCCCGCGCTGCGACAATACATCATCAGGACTGTCTCTCCAGCCCCTTTCCCCCAAAGGCCAGTAGCCTGGGATGAGCAAGAGGTTGGGAACTAGCACATCCAGGAGTCGGACCTCAGTGAACCCCAGGTATAGTCACGGAATCACAGAATCACAGAATCACAGAATCACAGAATCACAGAATCACAGAATGGTTGAGGTTGGAAGGGACCTTCAGAGATCCGTAAGGACTTAAAGAGCACAGTTGCCTGTCTCAACTGCTGTCAAGTAACTTGCCATGAGATAAGCCACCACAATGGGAACTTGAGATAAGCATGGAAGAGAGGAATTTGCAACAGAAAACCGCTAATTCCAGGCCTTGTGGAAGTGAGATCTGGTTAGCGCATCCTGGTTAATGCATCTGGACTGAAATTCCCACTGTGGAAAACTGTGGGAAAGGAAGCAACTACTCATGCACATATCACCCTAAGTTATGGGAATGGCACCTGTGAGCACCCTGTGAACTTGGACGGTATAAACGTAGTACCCTCAGAAGAACAATTCAGGACCTCTCCCACCAAGAAGCCCAGAGTGAGAATGACCAGTGGGATGCTTCTGGATCCATGGGTGGTGACTGTCTTCTGCTTGATCTCTCTCTTTCGCTCTCCTCTCTTTTCTATTTCTTTCTCTCTCTCTCTATCTCACATTCATTGTTAAATAAAATCTGTGTTACTGATTTCAGCATACAGTCTTTTTTGCACCTTAATCCAGGCACAGGCATATCTCTCTAATCAGATCATAACATTAAACTGGCATCATGGACAGGACACTGACCCAAAGTGCCGACTGATATGTAGACCCTAAATCCTTTAAATATGAACTTGTAAGTGCAACAAGGAATTCCAGTTTCTTGCCTCCCTAGGATAATCTTAGCTTTATTGACCTCCGCAGTCCTTTCCAACCCGACTGATTCTATGACTCTGTGATTCTGTCGTTCTATGATTCTGTGGTTCTATGATTCTATGTGGGTATCGAGGAGGCATTCATGAGAGAATCAAAGCCCCTGTCTCTCTGGGCACAGCTTTTGGATAGTGTGAGGGAGAGGTTCATTTACAGAGATCCCTTGCAGGAACACCATTGTGCAAAGGGCTGGAAGACCATATAGGAGGGGATCCTACGCCTTAGGGAAATGACACTGTTGGAGGAACTTCCTGGAAGGGATGAGCAACACACCAACAATCCTGACAGGGTTAAGTGTGCACCACAGACATGGTGGAGCCTCGCATGCATGAGGCTGCCCCTACACGCCCATTACCTGATATCAACGCAGGCTGGGGAGAAGTGAGAGCCAGTGATGTCTATAATAAATAAACTTCAGTTGTATGACAGTATGATCAAAGGCCCACTACAGACCTGCATCTCTGCTGTAGAGACATTGATTAATGACCTCAAAACAGAGGTGAAAGATGAACAGGAGAGACTGAGAGAGAGGATTGAGGGAAACAGCTTCCATGCAAACCAGAGCCCTCCAGCTAGAGAGAGCGGACAGATCTCATGACCGCGTTGTGGTAGCTGACCATGGAGAAGACATGACACAGTGGGACAGGAAACCCACCTGTATTCTAGCAGCCCGAGAGCAAGAGCTGAAGGAGGGAGAAAAAGGGAAGTCAGTGAAAGTGAGTGCATTACCAGTATCCTATGGGCAGGGATCGGACCTGCTAGAACGTACCTCTTGTACAAACAAACTGTGATTGGCAGAATGAAGACCAGTGTTAGAGGGGCTCTGCCTCTAGCCAGGTAGAGGCATGGGACAACCGTGTCTATTGGACTGTGTGGATCTGATGGCCTGGCACGTCAGACCCACAAGAATACACGGTTTTGGTTGATGCTGGTGCTCAGTGTACGTTGATGGCCTCAGGACATGTGGGACCAGAGACTATTTCCATTTCTGGGGTGACAGGAGGGTCTCAAGAGCTGACAGTGCTGGAAGCTGAAGTAAGCTGGACCAGGAGTGACTGGCAGACACATGTGATTGTGACTGGCCCAGATGGCCCGTGCATCTTGGGCATTGACTACCTCAGGAACGGATATTTCAAAGACCCTGACCATGAGCCAGCAGTGTGCCCAGGTGGTCTGTATCAGGAATAGTGTGGCCAGCAGAACCAGGGAAGTAACTAGTTAGGCCGCACCTCAAGTGCTGTGTCCAGTTCTGGGCCCTCAGTTTAGGAAGGATATTGAGGTGCTGGAGCATGTCCAGAGAAGGACAATGAGGCTGGTGAAGGGTCTGGAGCACAAGTCCTGTGAGGAGCAGCTAAGGGAGCTCGGGTTGTTTAGCCTAGAGAGGAGGCTTAGAGGAGACCTTATCGCTCTCTACAATATTCCTGACAGGAATCATAGAATCATAGAATCAGCTGGGTTGGAAAAGACTTCTGAGATCATCAAGTCCAACCCTTGCTGGACTTGTAGCCAGGAGGAGGTTGTAGCCAGGTGGGTATCGGTCTCTTCTCCCAGGCAACCAGGAGTAGGACAAGAGGGCACAGTCTTAAGTTGCACCAGGGGAGGTTTACATTGGACATTAGGAAGAAGTTCTTCACAGAAAGGGTGATTGGACATTGGAATGGGCTGTAGTCACTGTCCCTGGAGGATTTTAAGAAAAGGCTAGATGTGGCACTTAGTGTCATGGTCTAGTTGATAAGGTGGTGTTAGGTCATAAGTTGGAATCAATGATCTCAGAGATCTTTTCCAGCTTAACTGATTCTGTGACTCATTAAGTCTTCCAAGGAAATGATGAAAAGAATTTTGAAAAAATAAAAAGCAGAACAAGTATATGATAAGTTATGGATAAGAGCTGAAGGAGACAAAGACAAGATGCCATTAATATGGGAACCCATACCAGTAATGGAACTACCTCATGGTGATGAGGGAGTAACATTGGAATGGGAGGTAGCCACTTGGAAAATCAGCTATCTTAAACCTTGTAACTGGAGAAAGTTAGATTTTGCTAAATGGACCAGGCTGGTATCCCAGGGCTTGGGTATCACCAACTTTGAAGGGAATAGGACCAGGAACTTTTGGATCAAGAACTGCAGAGGCATCCCATACAGGAAGCTCATGACAGCATTGCAGTTGAGAGCTAATGTTTAACCCGCAAGGGAATTCATGGCAAGGGGTAGACACGAAAAGTACATCAAATACAGCAGACTTTGCCAGGCTGAGAATGAAACATGCCCCCATATCATCATGTACTGCCCAATCATGCAGGATGCAAGAACTAGGAGGCACAATTACATCTGTGAAAGGTTATCAAGCGAAGCTAAAAAGGAAGATTGGGTGGTGTTTCAGGAACCACATATAAGGGATAAAAACAATGAGCTACATAAAACAGATCTAATATTTATTATAAAGCATATGTGGTGGATGTCACGGTGCTGTATGAGTATCAGGATACACCTTTAGAAGAGGCCACAATGGAAGAAGTAAGAAAATACCAATATCTTCACAAATTCAGGAACTAACTAATGCAACAAACATCGTATTGGTAGGTTTTCCTCTTTAGAGTACTGGGGAAGTGCTACCATAAAAATGATGAACTTTTGAAGGCCCTGGGTCTTTCCAAAATGAGGGAAGAGAAGAAAGCTCAGGACCCAGCCTCAAGAGCACTCCTTACTTCTGTAGATATTGTTCACATGTTCGCTGGTAAAGCACATACTGTTGTATTATCTTAATTCACAATAAAGTTTTAGTGAACACTATGAGCATAGGACCGCCACAATCCAGTTAACATCAGGTGCAGGAAGTACGTGGGGATGACAATGGAATCAGACCATGATGTGTCACATATCATCAATTTGAGACAAAATTCCACTGATTTTGACAAAGGTGGACAGGCTACCTATACTTAAATCAGAAAAGGAACATATATAATTTATATGTGTTCGATAAATTGCCGAGGTCCTTATACAAGTGGCCCAGCTGTGAAACCTCCCTTTGGCGAAGTACCGGGACATTCACAAGTGGTCTGAAGGAATTCATCCCTGTTGATGGGCCCCAATGGGTTACAATTTACTCAACTACACTGATTGACGTAAGAGGCAGCTGTAACATCTGAGAAGGTTTCATAAACCATCAAAGATTCACAAAGTATCCTGTGATCCAAAGTATTACATCATCCAGTGTAAAACCGGATCATCCTGGGCCTTCCCAAATGAACTTGAGTGCATATAACACATAGAATTTTGTTTCTCAAGCTTCTTCTCCCACCCCTGATGGATCAAAACAGTCACCATCACTTTGACACAACAGCAACCATTAACTACTTGGACAAGTACTACAACAACCAAGTGTCATCACTGGATTCATGGGTGGTGATTATGTATGTATCTGCTCTTACACTGTTGTTCTTTTCCCTTATATATTTTCTCAAGTGATATTTTTATGCTGTTGTGTTGCTATATTACAATAGATAATAACCAAAATGTCAATATACCTGAAGGAGAATTAGGGACTTTTTGGATTAGGACAGAAGTGGACCAGCTGATGGGGATTTGAGGAAAGTTTCAAGGACTGAGTCTTTTTGATGATACAATAAGGACTGGACATCTGGAGGTTGAGGAAAACAGTACCTGCGGATGGGAGGCTGAGTTAAACCTGCCAAGAGGCATATAAATAGAGTGTTATGGCTAGATAGAGAAGATAGAAGAAGTCTTCCTTCTCAACCTCAGAAGAACGAAACAAAATCAAAGTTTCGCATGGAAAAGAAAATACTTCCACCAATTCCCTACTCAGGATCTTCTTCTTTTGAGGAGGAGAACTTAGCTGCTGGAAGTGAGAAAGCTACTTCTGGACCAGTAAAGACTCAGACTATCTGCTTCAACGCATCCAGGCGCTGGAAAGCAAAGCCACAGAGATGCAACCTCCTTTGCTGAATTCAACTCTCTCTGCTGCCCCAGCTTTGCCTGTAATGTCGATGCCACCTCCTGGAATCCCTTTCTCACAGACTCCTGGAACAAAGATCCCTGTTACAGAGGTTCCAGCTTTACTGGGAGGAGAGATGGGAGGTGGGGGTCATAATGCAGCTCTAAGATGGAAGGGAATAATTAAAGAAGAAATGTTAGAGGGAGATTTTGAGTC